TGTTTTTGTTTTAATAGGTATTGCAAAATTTACTAAATGGGAATTGTTTTATATGTGTCTTTTCCCCTACAATCTTATCAATAGACCATGTGAGCTATTGAATCTTTGCCAACCGGATAGGTGAAAAATAGTTTTGCAGTTTAGGTTATTGCATTTCTTCTATTATGCATGAGGTTGAGGCACTCATAAAACATTTACTGAATGAAGAAATGTAGCATAACAGCCAGCATGGGCCATGAGTACCATGTTCTGCAGTCTCTTCTTTGCTGGTTCTTTAGGTCTGAACATGACTGTCTGGTCCTTTAGGTTGTCTAGAAAAACACTTGTTACCAGTATTTTCCCACCAGCCTGGTCCCATAGCCACATCAACCGCAAATAAATGCAGAGACATTGTATTAATTATGAAACTGTTGGCCAGTTACCAGTGTTTCATATTGGCTAGCTCTGTCTTAAATATTAACACATTTGTATCACTCTAAGTGTTTCCATGTGGTCTTATGTTACTGGAGAGAGGGTATTAAGAGTAGGTTTTTCTCACCAGCATGGACCCAGTGCTGCACCAGCTCCAAATAACACACAGAGATGCTGTATTAGATATAAAGCCTGTTACTAGCATTTCTTATTGGCTAGCTCTGTCTTAAATATTAACCCATTTCTATCAATCTAAATATTTCCATGTGGTCTTACCAGAGAGAGAGCCTGGAGCTCTGCCCTGTTGGTCCTACATCTTGAAACTCCTCCCTACTTCTTCCTCTCTCCTCCTAGTTTCCTAGTCCTGGCGATCTTGCTTTCCTATTGGCCAACAGTGCTTTAGTCATTAACCAATTTGAGAAACATATTTACAGAATGACATCTCCCATCAAGAGGATCCAGACCTCTTTCCTCATGTCCTACATCTTGACTTCTTACTACTACGTCTCCCAGAATTCTCCTTGTCTCCTAGTCCCACCTGTCTTGCTTTCCTATTGGCCAACAGGGCTTTATTCACTAACTAATAAGAGAAACTATTTACACAATGGCATCTCCCATCAAGCTCTTGCATACAGTGATCAGTGTGGATATAAGGCTCTGGTAATACCTTTGAGGATCTACTTGGCATATGACTATATTCAAATGGAAAGAATAAAATGAGTAGAAGTTTACTAATAAGCATCATGACTCATAAGGTATTTTTAATCTAGTATTTTAATTGAACTCATAACAATCCTGTTATGTCTTGGGTGCTATTCTTTTTAGGATGGTAATGAGACAATGATTGGCCCATGTAGGTCATTAATCTTACACACGAGAGATTGGAGGCTGAACATGTTTTATTTCATTCTCAAAATTCTGTATTCATTGTTTTCAACCCCTATTGCCATTCTGTTATTTAGATGTAACAGGATGGTGGCACAGGTCAGGCTTAGTGTGCTGGAGATCCACTCACACCCTCTGATCTCTTTGTGGAGCCTGTGGCCCTTCTGCTGAGCTGAGTCCTTCCAGTCAGCCAGTGCAGTGTGGAGCACTAATGGTGATGGCAAACTCTCTAGTTTGGATGGTTCACACAGTCAGCCACTCATCGTTTTGGAAGAAATAGCCCTGCTCCTCTCTGAGAAGTGGAGAGCGGTGTTGTGAGAACAGTATGAGTTAGACACTTTGCAGAGGAAGCTAAATCATTCTTTAAAAAAAAAGTTAAAATATGTCTTTGTTATCATTTCACTGATTTTATTTAGAGGTATTGGGGATTGAAGGGTCTCATGCAAAGTAGGCAAGTGTTTTACTACTGAGCCATCATGCCCCAGCCTAGTTTTTTTTTTCCCCTGAGGCAAAGTTTCTCTGATTTGCTTTTGAACCTGTCCTGGAACTAGCTCTGTAGACCAGGCTGGCCTTGAACTTACAGAGATCTGCCTACCTCTGCCTCCTGAGAGCTTGGGTGCTGGGATTAAAGGCATGCGCCACCAATGCCCGGATTTTTTTTTTTTTTTTTTAAGCAATACATACTTGAAGTAAAAATGAATGTAGTAAAAAATTTTAAAAAAGAATAAACATGTATTAACTAGAAAGTAAAAAAAAAAAAAGACTTTGTTATTAAAGAATTACTTAGGGCTGGGAATATTGCTTAGTTGGTAGTATGTTGGCAATGTGTACATGAGGCCCTGGGTCTCCACACCAAAAACAATGACTAACAGGAGAAAAACCGCAAGAACAATGAAAACAACAAAATTGAAGACACAAAAACACCTCTTTAAAATCCTGTTCTGGATCTCTTTTTCCTAGGAACAGTATGGGGTATATATTAGGGTATATGTCCATGTATATTTATAGTCATGTGATGAGTGGCTGTAGTGATTGATTGCAGTAAATGAACAGAATAAAGTTGTATGGCACTGGGGAAATAAGTGTTTCCCTAAGTGAAGGAATTGTACAAGTTAGAGAATGGGACTTAGTTAGGGCTACTACTGCTGCAAGGGAAAACTAAGGCCAAAAAAGCAGTTGAGGAGGAAAGGGTTTATTTGGCTTATACTTCCAGATCATAGTCCATCATTGGAGGACGTCAGAACAGGAACTCAAGGATGACAGGAACCTGGAGGCAGGAGCTGATGCAGAGGCCATGGAGGCAAGCTGCTTACTGGCTTGTTCCCCTGACTTGCTCAGCCTGCTTTATTCTGAAACCCCTGACCACTAGCCCAGGGATGGCACCACCCACTGTGGGCTGGGCCCTCCCCCATGGATCACTAATTGAGAAAATGCCTTACAGCTGGATCTCACCCAGGCATTTCCTCTACTGAAGCCCCTTCCTCTCTAGTTTGTGTCAAGTTGACACAAAACGAGCCAGTTCAGAGTGATTTGTCATTATCTGTCATAGAGCCCATTTTTTCTTAGATGTCATGGTTTTGTTTCTAATAGTTTGCTTTCTAAAGCCACACAGTTTAGGCTGTACATCTTTAAAAGGTTGTTTATTTCTGTAACTATTTGAACGGTGCTAAAATTTGTAGCAACTTTAGGATGTTCCCTTTTAAAAACATAGAATTTTTTTTTTTTTTATTTCAAGCAGTTATTCACAACAACAACCACCACCACAAAAACCGCTATTCAGCTAGTGAATAGTAGCCAAACCTGTAACCTAAGATGAAAACTGTTAGGTTAATTATTAGAATTGGATCCTGTTGAAAATCTTCCCTCAGCACCTGGTCTTTCACTGAATGTATTGTGAATAGTTCTCAAAACATACAACAATAATAACCTTTGTTTGAAGATGAGGATAAAGTAATGCAAGCAACCTGGCTGATAAGAAATGCCTTAACCCCAGCAGAGGCAGGTGGATCTCAGAGTTCAAGGCTAGCCTGGTCTACAGGGCAAGTTCCTGGTTAGTCAGGGCTACACAGAAACAAACCAAACAAAAGAACAGCAACAACAACAAAAAACCAAAACCCAAACAAAAAAAGAAATGCTGTAACAAGAGCTTGCTGGAAGAGGTTCACTTCTCTGTCACTTGAAGCAGCCTGCATGTGAACACCTGGGCACATGAATGTTCATTCATAAAAACAAAATTCGTCGAGTGTGTCCCCCTGTGCCAGGGATAATTCTAAGTGATGAGGAGATGGTTGTAGGACACAGCGACAATTCTAATGAGGAGATGGCAGTTGTAGGACATAGGCAATTATTATGGGCCTATAGTCACAGGTAGGATGTGCAAGGCATACATTTCAATTAGTAGAAACAAGTGTTTGTCTTTGTGTCACTCAGATCATTGCAAGGACCAGTGGTTTGTGTAGCAGTCACACTTGGGAAATACTGCGCTGCAGGGAACTCGGGAGTCCTTTAGGCTCTGCATTGACAGTGACATGGGGGTACCTTGGGCAGGTGGCTGTGGAACACTGGAGGGTGGTTGAGAATGTCTTTCAGAACCTCTAGTTTAATTTTATTGTGTTTTGGGTTTTGTAACATTCACTGATGTATATGAAGGCTTGTGGAATCAAGAAATTCAATGCTCACAGAAGAACTTCACTTATCCGAATTTTCCAAGTTGAGGCTGGACCTGAAGAAGTTGAGATGGAATGTTAGAGACAAGCAGAAGTCAAGCTCAGGTTACTTGGTTTCTAGGTCATTCTGTACAACTGTATAAGGTCATGCTTCAGGGGTGCTTAGGAAGAGCAGAGAGCATCGTCATAAATCATAGAAGTGGGGGCTGGGGAGATGGCCCAGCGTCTAAAGTACTTGTTGCACAGATGGGCGGGGACTGGAGTTTGAGTCGGTAGGGTGAGTGTGCCAGTCCACCAGTAACCCAGCCTCCAAAGGCAGAGATGGAGACCCCAGGGCAGGCTGTGTGTGGGAGCTTGGAGTTTGAGTGAGATATCCTGCCTTAGAGAGGCCCCCCACATGGCCACACACATGCATGTGCTTGCTCACTATGTACATGTGGAAAGGAATGAGTGGAAATGGGAAAAGAAGAAGAAAATTTGAGTTTTTTTTTTTTTTTTTTTTTTTTTTTTTTTTTTAAGGGTTTAAATTAGAATGTGCTGCAAAAGAGGACAGGTAACAATTATGAAATAAATCTGAAAAATTTGTAATCTGCTTCACTGATGTTTTCCCCCCTTTAAGTCACTTCCATCTAATCTCTGTTTCTATATTTATTTTTATTGATAAAGACTAGAGGGCCCTCCCACTCCCTCCCCGCAAAAAGACTTTTTTCTAGGTGGTGGTAGCAGCTGTGGCACATGCCTTTAAATCCTAGCACTTGGGAGGCAGAGGCAGGTGGATCTCTGAGTTTGAGGCCAGCCTGGTCTACATAGCAAGTTCCAGGACACCTAGGGCTACACAGAAAAGCCTATCTCAAAAACAAAAAACAAGAACAACAAGAAAGTAAACCAAACCAAAAAATAATAATAGAGGGACTAGACCCTTGAAGGTATTCTAAATGCCTTACTAGATCACACAGCCAAGGTTTTACAGGGCTTAGCTAATAAGCTTGTCTTCTTTTCTTTCATATCACTTACTGTTCTTTTTCTTCTTTTTTCCAGAATTTTATAGAAGTGAAGTGATTAAGAATTCCTTGGTAAGTTTGTTTTCTGACAGGTCCATGTGACATGGCCTGTACCTGTTTTTAAAGTGTGAGTGGTGTAAGCTGAGGTCCAGTTCTTGTGTTATGGTACATGGATGGATCTGTTCAGTTGTTCAGTCATTACTGATTTTTTTTTAATTATTGTTGAAAGCTTTATTTGCACAATTTCCAACTATTTTTGAGTCTGTGTTATTTTGGCAAAATTCATAAGAATAGTTTGTAACTTTGTATACAGGACCTTATTTCTTGGGAATAAAAGCTTTGTTCAGTGAGAAGCTTGTGTCTAGCTGGACATGGTGCACATGCCTATGATCCCAGGGTTTGGGAGGAAGAGGCAGGAGGATTGTGAGCCTTAAGGGCAGCCTCAGCCCCACAGTGAGAGCCTGTCACCAAAAAATATAAAGCAAAACAATAAAGAACCAAGCATGGCTCTTTTTCTGTTTGGAAATGTCTCTTTTTTAGTGTGTGTGTGAATTGCACAGTGGTCTTGACATTTTTACTTGTTTATGAATTTCGGTTTTGTTTTTTCTAGACAGGGTTCCTCTGTATTGTTTTGGAACCTGTCCTGGAACTTGCTCTGTAGACCAGGCTGGCCTCAACTCAGAGATCCCCCTGCCTCTGCCTCCAGAGAGCTGGGATTAATGGCATGCACCACCAATGCCAACCTTATTTTTTTTTAAAGTTTTATTTATTTATTATGTAGTCATCATTCTGCCTGCATGTGTCCTTACACACCAGAACACATTGCACACCTTGTACAACGTCATTACAGATGGTTGTGAGCCACCATGTGGTTGCTGGGAATTGAACTCAGAACTCTGGAAGAGCAGCCAGTACTCTTAACCTCTGAGCCATCTCTATAGCCCCCTGATTATGAATTTTGTATGGATGAAGTAATGTAGCAAGTGCCCTGGTGACTGGAGTCCATGTGTCACCTTGGTTCTCACGATCACTTAACACTGTGTGGTGTGTATTTGATTTACTTGTGTGTGCGCTACTGGGTGAATATAACAGGTAATTTTTTTTCCACCGGTTGGTGAGCATATTTCGCTTCTAGTTGTGTATCATGGTGCTGTGAATATTCTCCTGGGTGTCCCGAGTGGAAACTGCAGTTCTTTCTCTGTAGGTGTGCTGTCCTGTGAGTATGCATACAATCTGCTAATGCTTCTGGATGGTTTTATAACATTGTTTCATTATTGTGAACATTTGATGCTTTAAAAAAATCTTAAATGTTGCTAGAAATCATATAAAGGATTTTTTTTTTTTTTTGCTTTTGCAGTTGAGGTGGATATTCTAAACCTAGAAACGCTAGTGCCAACAGTATGGTTAACGGAAAAGTTGAAGCTGTTTTTAAGGGTTTTTAAGGGTGTGTGTGTAGGCACAGGGCTTCTTGAAGACTGCCACCTGGTGGTTAGGACTTCACTGATTCTCATTCTCCTTCCTCCCACCCTTTCTTTCTCCCTTCACCCTCCCTTTCTCTCCCCACAAACAAGCGAACAAACAAAAACGGAGGTGGGTGGGAGGCAGAGATGGGGGAGGAGATGGAAATCTGTCTCCAAGTTATATGTCAGAGTCGTGTTTCTTTTCCCCACTCCTTTAGCCAGTAACAGTTGTTGGTAATTCTGCTTTACTTGCCTTTGGCTTCAGCTAGATACCCCTTCCCCCAAGTTATTATTGTGTCTGTTGTTACTGCTCTTTGGTTCAAGTGGAGGTTGTATCCTTTCTGTGGTTGACAGGTCATTAGAGTAGGTATTAACTAAAATGATTGAAGAGGTAATAGCAGAAAAGGCTAGCTGGATCCCCTAAGGTTGATTTTATCCACAGAACCGATGGGTGTTTGGAAGTTCTCTACATGAGGTTCCTTAATAAGGAGGTGTAATTGCGACCTGCCATGAGAGATCTAAGAGCGGGTTAGGTGTGTTCTTACATAGTTCTCACCCATGCTAATGCTGCAAGCTTAGGCGTATTCTTGTTTCACAGTGAGGAAACAGGCCTGGAACTTGATATTAGCCACACAGTTTGTGACACATAAAACTGATGTTCTGAGGCCCCTGCCATGCCTCCCACATCACACCTCCCTCAGCTTGGCTTTCACCTAGAGGCCAGTGAGCCTTGCTATTGCACAAACAAAACTTGGAGCATGTTATTTCTAGAGAAAACATGAGGCACAACTTACCAGAACAATCGTTGGGATTGTGAGTGGAGTTGTTTTTCAGTTGGGGAGGGAGCTACACAGTATAAATGCTTCTTTATAGATTGTAAGTGGCTTCGGCTTCAATTGAATTGTGGCTGGATAAATTAACACTTGAACTGCCTCTATGTTGCCCATGTCAGATGTTACCCGGGCTTCAACTGTGTCGTCATCAGGATTTTCCAGGTTCCTCTGGCCTCCAAGGGTGAGAAGGAGACTGAGGTAGTTGGCACATTCAGTTATGCTGCAAGGCAATTAAAAGATGCAGTGAAGGCGGTGAGTGTGGTTCATCTCAGCACAGAGGGAGGAAGGCTGCTAGCAGTATGTCATCCCAAGCTGGGTAGGAAGCCTGAGCTGGGCTAAGGGAGGCCATCGGAGGACTTTGCTGGGCTTCTCCTAATGAGACCAGTATGAATTTGAGTGACATATCTTTGTGACTATGTGTCTTTTTCTCAAACAATGATAGAGAAATGAATGTTGGTAATAATGTTTTTTTTTTTTTTTTTTTTTTTTTTTGTTATTTGGTTTTCCTTCCTCCCTTCCTTCCTTCTTTCCTTCCTGTTTTGTTCTTTTGAGACAAGGTTTCTCTGTGTAGCCCTGGATGTTCTGGAACTCATTCTGTAGACCTAGCTGACGTGGAACTGGGAGATCTACCTTCCTCTGCCTTTGGAGTGCTGAGATTAAAAGTGTATGCCACCACACCCAACTAATAATTACTTTTGTTTTATAATCTTCTGATAAAAAATAGTCGTTTTACATCCCCTGGTGGGTAATTAGTAGGCAGTGAACTCTCAAGACTATAAATCCTAATACTCAATGGAGATAGACAGGGTCAGCAGATGTTAACTGCTTGAACAGTCTCCTCCATCTGGACATTGGGCTGATATGTGTGTTAAATATACATTTAAAAACCATCTGGATCTAGACAGTGAAAATGTTGGGCAGTAACATATGAATAGGTGGCAGGCTGTATGTGTCTGTGTCTGCATGTGCCAACTTAGGCATTCTTCCTCATACACTGGCAACTGTTTATAAGCTTATAGAGGAAAGGCTGTGGGGAGAAGATGACAGTACGCCACTGTGTTAGTGTATCAGCCTAGAAAGGAGCCCTGGCCACCATGTGATCATATAAAATAAGGCCCGTTCTGTCCAAAGGCAGTTCTTAGTTTGGATGATGCAGTTGAGGATGCTCTGTATCCCACCCTCCCCACCATGCAGCCCGGCCCCTCAGATGCCTCTGTTCAGTCTCCCTTTTCACTGTGGAGGGAAGTGGTTACTTCATGTTTTTTCTAGCACCTTGTCATATGGGTAGTGAGAACTTGGAATGGTGCTGTTTCATATTCTAGAGTAGTGTTTATTGTGATGTGATCTCATAGGGACTTAAGTGGCTGCCTTTTCAGGCAGTGTAAACCAGCTCCTGCCTTCAGGCTTTTGATTGACATCACAGCTGGCAAAGAAGGTGTTGATTTTTTTCCTATTTAAACATCTTAGAAACAAAACAGAACAAAATATGTTTCATTACCTTTATGCCACTCATGGTTGTGTACCATTTTTTTTTTTTGTTGTTGTTTTGTTTGTTTGTTTTTTGAGGCAGGGTTTCTCTGTATTGCTTTGGAGACTGTCTTGGAACTAGCTCTGTAGCCCAGGCTGGCCTTGAACTCACGGAGATCTGCCTGCCTCTGCCTCCCGAGTGCTGGTATTAAAGGTGTGTACCACCAATGCCCGGCTTGGTGGTGTACCAATTATAATTCTAGCACTTAGGAGGCAGGTGCAGGTAAGTCTCTGAGATCAAGGCCAGTATGAAAGTCCCAATGAGACACTGTTTTGAAAGACAGAAATACACACATAAAAAAAGAAGTAGAGCCTGATGTGGTGGTGCCCACCTTGAATCCCAGCACTTGGGAGGCAGAAGCAGGTGGATCTCTGTGAGTCTGAGGCCAGCCTGGTCTACAATAATGAGTTCTAGGACAGTCAAGGGTACACAGAAAAACCCTTTCTCAAACAAGCAACAAGACAACCCTCCTAAAGCAAACAAGAAGAGGAGCAGAGTTGTTTGTTTCTCCTTTGTCTCCTTCCAGTCACTAACGCACCACAAAGAGGCAGCAAGCTCCCTTTACCTGGCTTTCTACTGAAGAGTACTTTTGCCTCGCTGGGCCCATAAGTGGCAAGTGATGTTTTGTTCAGCATGTTGTGAGACTGTTGTTTCACGCAGTAATTCACTGACTCTAGAGAACATCTCCTCTGTGAACAGGAGAACGTGTTTCTCTGGTGTATGTGCTTAGGTGTAGAATGGCAGCGTGATGGGCTTCAATCTGCTCTGTTGTAGTTGACATTGGCCAAATAGTTGCCAGATAGTTTCCACACCAGCTATGTCCTTCCCAGCAGTGCGAGGCTCTTGAGGTTGTTCCATATCCTAGCCCAAACCTGGAGTCTTTTAAACTGTAGTCATTCTGGCGGGACTGTGGTATCATTGTGGCTTCAGTTTGTCATGTGACTTCCTCATAGACTGTTTGGCTGAACATCCTTCCAAGGGTTGATTGCTGTTCAGATGTTCTCACTGTAGTGGAATACGGTGGAGGAGCATCCCTGCTAATGTCAAATGAAGAATAAACAGGTCCAGTGCAAGAACTGGGACTTTAACTAATCAGAGATAGAATCTTATTATATAGCTCAGGTCGGCTTGAACAATCTTCTTGCCTCTGCCTTCTGTGTACTAGAATTACAGGCATTAGCTGCCCCTCTCCACCCTGTGCCCTGCCTGAAACTTTAGGTTTATGATATACATTTGATGTAGCTTGGTAGCCAAGACACTCCCTTTTCATGCTTCCCATTCTACACTATTCAAAGACTTATGGAGTTGCTGGGTCTGTTGAATCCCAGTGAAGTGAGACACTTGTTTGAAAATTCATGCTCACCTCACCTTTGTGTGGTCTCTTTCCTCTTCCTGTTCTTTAAAAATTATTTTACATGCACTCACATTTGTCTACGTGAGTGTGCACAGGTGTGCATGGGTGCATGGGCCTCTCTGCATGTGTGGGGCCCGGACAGTGTTGTACCCCTTGGAGCTGGAGTTACAGGCATATGTAAGGCATCCTCTTGTTAGGTGAGCATTGGGCTCTGATCCTTAGTGTGCATGATTACGCAGTAAGCACTCTTAACTGTCGCTGTTTCTTCCTCCTCACTTCCCATTCTTTCATACTGGAAAAAGTATTTAACTTTCTCAAGAACTTGGGGTTATCACGAGAAGTGTTAGTTATTATATCAAGGTGGTCTTTCATTGGCTGCAGCATAAAGCCCAACCCATAGCTCTTACCATGAATGATCTCCAGGTCAGCCTGTATCCTATTCAGCAGTTATCTAGGGGTGGAGATGCTAGAAAGTTGATAAGAGTACTTGACTCTGAGTCTGATCCCTAGAACGATAAAACTGGTCAGGGTGGTGCTTGCCTGCATTCCTAGAACTTGGGAGGTTCAGAAGTTCAAAGCCATCCTTGGCTATATAGTGAGCTTAAGGCTAGCCTGGGTTACATAAGACATGCTTTTGTTTTGTAAAAAAGTTTTCTATTGCTTTTATGCCTTTGGAGTCAGCTGTAACCTTTGACTGCCAGCTCTAGCTGTAACCACCTTATGGCAAGCAGGTTATTTAATGCCTCCTCAGCGTCAGCTTCTCCTCTGAAGAGACAATCATGTTACCTACTTTACACAGGGCTCTGGAGTTAGAAGATTAAGTCACATGTGTATACACATTGCTGACAGGGACCTGGCACATATGATACCAGGAGACAGACAGTAAATGCTCTGGGAGAAATCTCAGCCTTCCAGGAGGGCATGACAGAAAGCCTGGTGATGTTCTCCAGGGAGCATGCACATTAGGGCACCACTACTCAGGGCACTCTTCTTTTCTAGTGATAGTTATAGCAGAAGTGAGAGTGAGCAGGGTGATCGCTATTCCTCATTCAGAAAAAATGATGCACATCAGACAAGAAAACGAGCCACCCTTTCCAAAGGAATCTTAACCTGCACTTTCCACTGAAGTGTAGCATTTTGTTTTGGTTTGGTTTGGTTTTTGGCCTCAAACTGATTAGGACTTCTTTATTACAGTACCTGGAATACAATGCACTTTTTTGCTTATTTAGCAAATCTTTGAATTTTTTTTTTGTCATGTCTCCAGGGTACTAAGAAGGGAAAACAGTAGCAGAAATGTCCCAGCCTTACAGAGGGTCTGGTGTAGATCCTGACAGTTATGAGGCAAGCATTGGAGGCTCCCCCAAGGGAAAAAAACTGTGAGTGGCCAGAGAAATGTTAACCAGGAAAAGAACAGCTGTGTATGTGTGTGTGTGTGTGGGGGGGGGGGGGGTCTGGGAAGGGTTCTGCCCAGAGGCCTCAACTTCCTCACTTCAAAACTTGAGTTGGACTGACAGGTTCAAAGATCCTTTCTTTAGTTCTGACATTTCTAGAATACATAAACTAGGAGATAGCCTTATTTGGTCTGTTACATGTTCCTTCCTCATTTGTGCTGTGGTCTGTGTAGATTTAACCAGGTACAATGCTCAGAGTAAGTGGACTATAGCCAATAGCTGTTGTCAGGGTGGTGAAGGAAACAGACCGAGGGGAACAGAGGGACGATGGGGGACAGAAGGGACAGAGGGGAACGTAGTCTCAGGCTCCAGAACTAGAGAGTTAGCCCAGAAATCTCCTGCAGAGTTCTCAGGTTCTGGATGAGCTGAGGCAACTGGCGAGAACCAGCTCCTCCCTGGGTTATCTGTAATGGCTACTTTAGTCTAACATTTGCTGTCATGTCCAGTTCAGTCACTTAGTTGTCTCTTGCTTGTATTATCACCATTCCATTGGCAGAGGTGGCTGACTTGAGGTATTTGAACCCAAAGTCTGAGTCATCACTGGCTGACCGCTGAGCTCTGCAGAGAGGTTATACTAGAAATGTGGGTTACAGTTAGCTTCAGTCAGCCCAGACCACAGGCTGTGGAGTGGCAGGGAGAGTCATTTGACGTCCTGTCAGTGAAGAGAGCAGAGGCTAGGGCAGTAGAAGGTGCATAATCAGGCTACACTGCTAAATCCCACAATTCACTCTGTCTCAGAATCTTCAGTTATATAAAAACCAAACCACCAACAACTTGCCAGATGTCACAAAGTTTAAGCAAGGTTGAATGCTTCCTAGTGAGAGATGTCAAGAAGCCAGGTGATGCATGTAGCAGCTTAGGCACCTCACCCAGGGCACAGGCCTGTACCTCTTCCTTCTGCTTCTTTCCCTGAGTCTCTCTACCTGGGGCCTGCCATTCCTGGGAGGTTGCTCTTAGTTCCTGCTCACACTTGCTGCCTCATACCTCTGAGCCCTGATGCATCATATTCCCTTTGCCTGGAATTCCTGATTTTAATCTGCTGAAATTCTATTTGTGCTTTCAAAGTCAAGCTCCCTTAGGCTTGGATGCCTTCCCTGCCTCTAATATAGTTGGTTGTTTCTTCTGTGCTGTTGTGTAACCTTTAGCATAATTCTGTCACTGAACTTTCCATGGTTCCACTGTAATTATTTTTGTTTATGTGGTACTGGGAATTGAACCCAGGGCCTTGTACTTGCCAGGCAATCACTCTACTGTTGGGCTATATCTCCAGTGATACAATTGTTTTGAGTGGAGATTTAAGTTGGAGAGCCTGTGAGGCATTGTTTATAGTCTGCCCTCCTTTTTATTGTTTGTGAATTGCATGTATGCATGTAATATGGTTCAATCAACCCCACCCCCACCCCCGGTCCTTGAAGAAAACTGATCTTCCCTTCCCGGGCAGCTATCACTTGGCCTTAGGGGGGTGGAACTTAATGAGTGACCTCCCCCCCAATGCTGGGATTTTGGCTAGCTAGATCTTGTGCAGTCTTATGCATGCAGTCACAGTGTTGTGTGCAATGGTCCTGACATGTTTGGCAAATATTGTTTGACTGTGGATGTCCACTACCTTTGGCTCTTAGAGTCTCTACATCTCTTTTCCTTGTTACTTCCTGAGCCTTGGAGGTAGAGGATATTGTCTGGTTGTCTCAGCTGAGCACTCTGCGTGCTCTTATTCTTTGCATGTCGACCAGATGTGTGTCGCTGATCAGTCTCTGTGTTGGCTTCTAATAGTCATGCATTGTCTTGGATATATGAGTGAAAGTATAGTATGAAACCATGTCAGTGAGGGCAAAAGTGATCCTGAGTCAGCAGATAAATCCAGAGGTGTCATTGTCACCTTCATTAATTGTAGGGTTGTATCTGTTTATAATACCTTTTACCTTTTGTCTTAAACAAACAAAAAAACCAAAAAACTTTTAATTTGTGTATGCCAGGGAGCAGGGAGCCTGAGCATGCCCATACATGCGGAGGTCAAAGGACAGCTTGCAGGAGTTGCTTCTTTACTTCCTTCATGTGTGTTCTGGGGATTGAACACACGTTGTTAGGTTTGGTGGTAAATTCTCTTACCACTGAGCCATCCTGCTAGCTTCTGGTCTTTATTTTTTTATTTTAGTTTTTTAAGTATGTGGGTGTTTGCCTGCTTGTATGTCTGCATAACATTTGTGTGCCTGGTGCTTGCAGAGGCCAGAAGGGGGCATCAGATCCCTTGGAACTGGAGTTACAATTCCCCTGGAATTGCCTTGTAGATGCTGGTGATCAAACTTGGATCCTTTGGAAGAGCAGCCAGTGCTTTTAAGCCCAAGTCATCTCACCAGCCCTTCTTTTGGGTTTTGAAAACAAAATGTACCATCTAATTAGCATTCTTGTAAAGAAATTGGAGTCTTCCTAAAGCATGTTTTAATTTCCATCAACAGAATCCAACATGGAGGAGTCTTGACTTTGGAATAATGCCGGACCGTCTGGATACATCTGTGTCTTGCTTTGTGGTGAAGATTTGGGGTGGAAAGGAGGATGCCTACCAGCTGTTGATAGAGTGGAAAGTCTACTTGGATGGGCTGAAGTACTTAGGTCAACAGGTAATTTTCTGAGTGAGATTTCAAGGGTTGTCCTCTACAAATTGCCTAACTTTTCTATTGATTCTCTTCTCTTTATATTTTCAGTTATAATAGATGCTAATAGAAAATAAAAAGTAAAAAATTAAATTAGTGAAAATGTGCAAATCTATCTTATCTATCTATCATCTATCTCTATCTATCCATCCATCCATCCATCCATCCATCCATCCATCCATCCATCCATCCAGGCATGGTGACATGTGCCTGTAATCCCAGCACTCAGGAGGTACAGGCAGGAGGATTGCTATAAATTAGAATTGGGCCTGGTCTATATACAGTGTGTTCTGGCCTGGCCAGAACTAGGACAACAACAAATAAGGCTTGTGATACTGTCTTTACTTAAGTTACTTATGTTGTTACATTTGAGTTACAAAAATCCCTTAGCAAGGTGGCTCCCACCTGTGAGCCTAGCTCAGCCAGGCTGAGTTAGAATTGCAGCAAATTTGAGGCCAGTCCCTGGTGGACGCTGAGCTTTGAACCACCCTGAGCTATAGAGGAAGACTGTCTCAGGAAACAGAAACAAACACAAAGGACCTTGAATTGTGGAAACTCAGGCAGAAGCACCCTAAGTGTGCATGTACTTACGTGTGTCTGTGTATGTTCGTGTGTCTGAGAAGGGCGTGTTTTCCTCATCTTTGGCCTTGTTAGATATTCTTCCCTTGGTCGTGGAAATTAAGTTGACACAAAGAACACCCTGTTCAGCATCTCCATTTCAATCAATAGAGTTGGGTTATTCCACAAGAAAGGAGAGCTGCTACTACCCTGAGTAGAGGGGAGACAAATGTGCCTTTTGTGCTGCCCTTGTTGCCCTGTGACTGATGTTCCTTATCCTTGAATGCTATTGGCTGAGCTAAAAAGTATCACAGTTCTCTCTGCTTCCTTCTAGATCCCACACGTGTGAGATCAGATTCTTACCAGATTTTTACTTTGTGTTATTCTGTAGTGATCAGAGCGATGCTTTTAATATCACTGTTCCTTCTTTAACCAACTTCTACTCTCCTAAAACGGTTTCATCTCTGTTCATATTTACTGCTGGTCTTTTGGAGGTCTGCTTTGGAGTGACTTGGCCTTGGAGTTAGTGCACACTTTAGTGTCCAGCTACACCTCGGTACTTAGAGCTACCCAGTTAAAACTTGCTGGCTAGTGACGCTCCCTTTACAGTCTTCCTTTTCTCACTCAGGTTGACTGGTACTTGTCATTTGTGAGTGTCTGTGCTTTGTGGAAGTGATACTTCTTAACACTGTTAAGGCTTGGCTCCAGGTCTGCTGGGGAGATTTTGGCAGTGATGGCTTCCTTATGTTTCCTAAGTCACACATTCCTTTGGTGGTGGTCTTAAAATACTATACTGTGCTCATGTCTAACTTGAGCTTATTTCAAAGCCAGCATTCAGGATTCTTCTTAGAAAGTACTAACTGTACTAGGAAGCACACTGGGATGGCAGAGACAAGCAAAAGTGGTTTTTTTTTTTTTTTTTTTAAAGCCAACCAGAGAGTTATTATCAGTACAGGGAGCCCAGCCTTGTCTCCGAAATGAAGGTAACAGTACACACTAGGCATCAGTTACTGTAAAAGTCACAGTTGTAGAGAAAGAGAAACCAAGGTGGATTAGGATGAATAAAAATAAGTTAGGTTGAGCCAGGCGGTGGTGGCACACACCTTCAATCCCAGGACTCGTAGGCGGTTCTCTGTGAGTTTGAGGCCAGCCGGTCCAGAATAGGCAAGGCTACACAGAGAAACCCTGTCTCAAAAAACAATAACAAAACGAAACAGTTAGGTTCCTTGAGTGGTCCTGTGCTTTCTACTGGTTCTTGTTCTTAATGTTAAGGACCCAGGGAGGTGGAAGACATCATCTTAAGTCTGCTATTTGAAACAGGGTGTAGGAAGTATGTGGAGGAAGTATTCAGACTAGTCCTCATAGAGTCAGGAAGGGTGGCTTCAGAGGGGTTGGGTTTGAGTCAGGCTTATTGCGGTGCAGTGGACACACTATCAGTTTACCATTTTAAAGTGTATATGGACGTGGAGTTGTAGCTCAGTGGTAGAGCATTTGCCCAGCAAGTTTGAGGCGCAGGCTCCATCCTCAGCACTGTACTGCAGTACACAGCACAAAATCCATGCAGTGGGGTTGAGTAACTACCACCACAATGATTAGAGCTGCTGTCAGTGATTGACTGTAGGCCTTTGTGTTGTTATATGCTGTCATTCCTTCTGTGTAAATACCCAGGAATGCAATTGTTGGCTCTTAAGGTAAGTGTGTGTTGGAATTTATAAGGGATTGTAGGTGGTTTTCAAAAGTCAATGTCAAGGTCTCCATTTCCAGCTATAGTTTCACACCTTTATTGATGTGTATTGTTCTTTGTCTTGTTAGTCTTTCAAACATTAGCTATTTTAATGGTATAAAGTGATATTTCATTAGGTGGTAATGGCATACAACTTTTAATTCATATTTTCCTAATGAATGAACCAATCTCTCTCTCTTTCTCTCTCTCTCTCTCTCTCTCTCTCTCTCTCGTGTGTGTGTGTGTGTGTGTGTGTGTGTGTGTGTGTGTGTGTGTGTGGTGTCTGTTTACATCTTTTGCTTATTCTTTATTAGGGTGTTTAGATGTTTAATTACTGACTTGTAAACGTTCCTTATAGAGAGCTCCGTAGGTCAAATACTTGTCCCACAAATGTGTAGATCAGACTTGGACTTTAAGAATGCACTAAAATGTGCTTAAATCCCAGTTATTCATTTATTTCTAAAGTTTCAGACCCATCTAATCTCGAAACTGGTTTTGAAATATTTTGCCTTTGAAGATGAAAACTCTCGCTTGGTTTCTGGTGACCTTGTGCAGCTGCATCTATGCTGTTACTGTGTTTGGTTCTGTGAGGATCTCACTATGTAGCATGGGTTGGCCTTGAACTCATGATCCTCCTGCCTTCGCCTACCTCCCACATGGTTAGGATTACAGGTATGTGCCACCATGTCTCACTCTGTTTTTAAAAAAGATTTCTTTTTATTTTATGTGTGTGGGTGTTCTGACTATTATATATCTATGCACCATGTGTGTAGTGCCCAAGGAGGGCAGAAGAAGGTATTGGATCCCCTGGGATTAGAGATACAGACACCTGATGTGGATGCTGGGAATCGAACCCAGGGTCTTTGGGAGAGCAACCAGTGCTCTTAACCTCTGAGCCATTTCCAGCCCCTGTCCTTTAATCCTTTAAAGTTGTATTCTTTCCATCTGTCAGATGAGGTTGGATCTGGGGCAGCACTGACTGTAGCTCAGGGCAGTTGCTCGGAAAGACTGGACTTCCTTCCGGCAGCTAAGACTGGGTGCTCTTGTCTTCAGTTTGTCCTTTTGAAAATAGAAGCTAATCTGACATCATCATTTTAAAGCACTTGTGGAAATTTTCTAAAAATTAAATCAGACCATGTGTGGTTTGTCTCTCTACCCCCTGTCCTTCAGGCATAACTGTTCCATAAGAACCCGAGAAATGGTGACAGTCGTGTGAATGATGCACCCGTAACCTCAGGTGGTGCTTTGTGAGGCCCTGGACTAAAGCTGCGCATGCTCCACTCTCTCTCTCACTCACCTGGCTTCTGCTGATCTCTGCCATCCTTTGTTTAGTCGTAGCCAGTCTGTTTCTCAGCTTGGGAATGGGTGAGGTTACATCTGTCCTCCCCACCTCTGGAATAACAACTAATAGTGTATTTTCCTTCATTCTTAGATTCACGCCCGCAACCAAAACGAAATTGTTTTTGGGCTAAATGATGGCTACTATGGTGCTCCATTCGAACATAAGGTAAGAGGATTCTGCGAATGTTCTGGGTTTTGGTGAGTGCTGGTGCCTTGGGAAGATGATCTCTTGGGTAGGTCTGTGCAAACAGAAGCATGTTCCAAGTATCACCATGACCTGTTTGAGGGCTTAAGGTGAATGCCGTTTAGAGTGAGAACTTGTTTCATAGGACACACAACCACACCCAGTAATGATCCCTAAATCCCTATTAGATTTTTTTAAAGGGAAACCTAAGCTAGTTGTTTTCTTTTCTTTTACCTAATTCTTCGGGGATTAAGAAAGAGTGGAGAGCTTGGGCAAGGTGCAGAAGCTTGTAATCCTGGCCACTTAGAAGGCTGCAGCAGAAGGGTCATGGGTTGGATCCTGCCCAGGTTCAGAGTGAGTTCAAGGCCAGCCTGAGAAGCCCAGTTGAGCGGGTTCTGAAGATGAAGAGAGGCTGTGGATGTCGCTCAGCAGTATGGGGCTTTACCTACTGTGCTGTGAGCCCTGTGCTCAAGCCCCAGTCCTGCTTTCCCTCCAAAATGAGAATGGTGACTTTTGTATACATGGAATAGTCTAATTAAAGTGTTTCAGTTATGTTTTATCATTGTCTGTATGACTGAGAAACCCAAATTATGCTGGACGTAATGACACATGCCTTGAATCCCAGCATTTGGGAGGCAGAGGCAGACGAATTTTTGTGAGTTTGAGGTCAGCCTGGTCTACAGAGTGAGTTCTTGGCTAGCCTAGTGTATGTACACAGTGAGATGATGCCTCAGAAAAGAGAAAGGAAGAAACTAAAATTGAAGCTGTTTTGATGCCATCACTGTCTCTGCATCTGAAGGTGAAGAAAGAAAGGAGAAGGCAGTCATTCTCAGCAAGGACCTTCTGTGAGTCCCTGTGACCAGGGCACTCAGCTCCAAACACCATGCTGTTTTGTTCTCTCCATTTCATAGCTGTGGAACCTGACTGGGAGGATGGACGGGGTCTAGAGTGACTGAGCTGAGATGTTGGGTTTCGTGCCTGAGCCTGCTTTCCCAACTCTGACCTAAAAACCTAAAAACAAAACAAAACACACATGGTGTGTGTTTGTTTTTGTTCAGGTATCCCAGTGTTTCATCATCTCTGCTGTGTGAGATGCCATTGCTCGGACTCGCCACAGTTTGCTGAGTGCCTGTTCAGGTTAGCTCCTGTACTCAAGGGCCGAGAGTGCAGTGGTGAAGACGGGCCTGGCACACACCTCTCTTCCAGCTACACGGTTAAGGCAGGAGGATGGCCTGGGCCCAGAATTCAAGACTGGCCTGCACCGGTGCCATGAGAAAAGTGCTCGTGGGGACTTGGTTGCTAAAGTTATAATCCAGGTTATGAGTAGATGACAGTTATGTGAAAGGCGTGGGCACTGAATGGAGAGAGCATTCCAGGGGAGGAGACTAAGGTTGAAAGGCCATTAAGTGGAATCGGACATGACGAGTCTCAGGTAGGGACTGAAGGGACATCAGAGTAGTACCAGACAGACCACCACGTGGAAGGGTTAGGGATTTCATCCAAAGGATGGAGGCTTGTGCTTTAATCAGATACACTATAATGCTTTACTCTGGCTTATTTCAAAGAACAAGCATGTGTGTGGGAAGATAGTGAGAAGAACTTTGTGGTACAGTGGGTAAGAGATGGTGACAGATAGCGAGAAGGACCTTGTGGGTAAGAGATGGTGACAGTTTGGAATAGGACCGTGGCAGGGAAGAGGAGGGTTTTTGTTTGTTTGTTTGAAGTACAGGAATGATACCCAGGGCCAGGCACATGCTAGGCAAGCGCTTTACCACTGAGGCACACCCCCAGCTCAGAAGACATGAGGGTTAAAGGAGATAGAATCATTAATTACAGTTTGTTGTGGTTTGCATTTGAGATAAAAGGAAAAAAGAGATTTGAAGAGCGAGTTTAGATTTCTGGCTTAAAGTAATTGAGTAGATAAAGATGTTAGCCACAGGAAGCTTTAAGACCTGAGGCTGGGTGGGCTGGGGTGGGGGACGCGGAGGAGGAAGAGCACAGATCCTGAGGTAAGATGTGGTACAGGAGTATGCGGTGTCTTTAGACGCATGTTGATGGAAGGTAGCCTTTGGATCTGTGAGTTCAGAGGACAGAACTGAACTAGGCCTACGAATGTGGGCTGGAGGCAAGGTCACTAATGTCATGTATGTGTGTGACATAGGCTAGGAAAGGCAGGCCAAGGTCAAGGCTCTCTCTGCCTTCTCCCTTCCATTTCTTTAAGCTTGTGGGGTCTAGCTGTTTTTTAAGGACTGACAGTTGCCTTTTGTACTTTAGCAAATGGAATTTATTCTAGGTGGTATCTATTTCCCAGCACCTCTTCTCTGTTCCTGCAGTATTTCCAGACCTCCTCTGCTGGATGTACTGCTCTGTTTGGAGGCCTAAATGCTGGCTCCCCACACTCTTCTGCAACACTTGGGACTCAGTATTTGCTTAGTGAAAACATTTGTGATTAAGTCAGTGAGGCTGCTGGTGCTGGGCTGTTTGCCGTTCCCAAGGCTAGTCTCCAACTCATCACCCTGCAGATTCTGGCAGTCAGAGATGATGGTAGAATTTGGGGCCAGTGTCTACTGAGCGGTCCCATGATGGCACCTTTGTATCTGCCTTTGTAGTTAGTCCTTCAAGAACCCCATGACTAGAGACTGATAGTTGGTAATTTTTGGGTAGGTACTGTGGTATCTGACTTTCCTTTCTGCTAGTGAGTTTTGAACAAGTTCAGGCAAGATAGGGAACAGGTAAATGGAGGCCAGAAGATGGTATGATAACAGATAAAACTGGCAAATGTTGCTTGAATTTTGTGACTACAAGAGCTTGTATATATTGTTCCTCCTGACCTGAATCTCTTCCCTCCAAAATAACACAAATGGATATGAAATTGTCCCATTAGAGACCAAAGCCTGATCCTCTGAACCAAAGTAGGGTTGTGTATGCAGTAGACAGTTGCCCATGGCAGGGCATTCAGGAAGTGCTGCGCCACACATGCCCAGACCTTCAGAGCTCATAGATGAGCCACCTTTAGGCACCGAGGAGGAGAGAGCCACAGCCTGGGGGGATTGGGAGCATTTCTTTTGTTACCTTCTCTCTCAGGATGGGGACTGGGAAATTTTCTCCTATGTGGAAACTTGGGGATATGTACTGAATATCTGACCCTAACATAGTAACACTAACTAATATTTAGTAAGCACTTAATTCAGTGCCAGGCAGGAAACACTTTCCATAGTCTATTGTGTTTAAATCCACAGCTGTTCATCTATAGAAGAGAAACTAGTACAGAGTGATTAAGTAATTTTCTTAAGATTGCACAGCAGTCAAATAGCAGAGCTGGGATTCAGAACCAAATGGCTAGGAAATGTTTATTGAGTATGTGCTTGTTACATATGTTGTGTTTTATTCCTCCAATTAATTAGTTTTGTTAGTTTAGATTCTAGCTTATCTTGTACCTTGTACCTTTCAAAGGGACAATGGACACTATCAGTTGAGGCTTAAAAGCATTGTTTGAAAAGATTTATTTACATTACTTTTGATCATGTGTCTGTGTGTATACAACTTCAAGTGCCTAAGAGGCTGTGTGTGTGGTGTGAGTGTGTGTGTGTGTATGTGTGGTGTGTGTGTGTGTGTGTGTGTGTATGTGTGTGTTGTGTGAGTGTGTGTGTGTGTGGTGTGTGTGAGTGTGTGTATGTATGTGTATGTGTGTGTTGTGTGAGTGTGTGTGAGTGCGTGTGTGTGGTATGTGAGTGTGTGTGTGTGGTGTGTGTGTGTAGTGTGTGTGTGGTGTGTGTGAGTGAGTGTGTGGTGTGTGAGTGTGTGTGTGGTGTGTGTGAGTGAGTGTGTGGTGTGTGAGTGTGTGTGTGTGGTGGTGTGAGTGAGTGTGTGGTGTGTGAGTGTGTGTGTGTGGTGTGTGTGAGTGTGCGTGTGTGTGGTGTGTGAATGTGTGTGGTGTGTGTGAGTGTGTGTGTATGTGTGTGTTGTGTGAGTGTGTGTGTGTGGTGTGTGAGTGTGTGTGGTGTGTGAATGTGTGTGTGAGTGTGTGTGTGTGTGTGTGTGTGTGTAGATTACAGGAGCCTACAGAGGCTGATATGCCATGGCTTCCTGGAGCTGGAGTTTCAGGTGGTTTTGAGCTACCTGATGAAGGAGCTGGAAACTGAACTCTGGTCTTAGCATGAACAGTGCTTCGTATGTGTTCTTAATGCTGTGTTCTCTCTCTAGCCTTGGAAAGCATCGCTTTAATCTTTATTTTTTTTTTTTTCTTTCTTTTTGAGCTTTAGAGTCTGTCCTGGAACTTGCTCTGTACACCAGGCTGGCCTCAAACTTACAGAGATCCTCCTGCCTCTGCTTCCCAAGTGCTGATATCTAAGGCATGCTTTACCACTGCCCAGCCTTTTTAAAATTTTTTTAAACCATAGGCAGACATTGTGATGATTTATGCATATTATTAAAACTACTCTCTGTTACAGGCAGTTTCCTGCTAGCCTGGTCCCAGAGCCGCATCACTCCCAAAATAACACAGAGACTCTATTAATTATAAAGCTGTTGGCCGGTTAGTAGTGTTTCTTATTGGCCAGCTCTGTCTTAAATATTAACCCATAATTACTGGTATATATATTTCTACATGGTCTTATCCTACCAAGAATGCCAGACTGGAGTCTCTCTTTTCGAGATCACATTGCAACTCTATTACATTTCCCAGAATCCTCCACCTCTCCTAGTCCCACCTATCTTGCTTTCCTATAGGCCAACAGTGCTTTATTCATTAACCAGTAAGAGAAACATATTTACAGAATGGCTTCTCCCATCAAAGCAAAAAGCAGAATTGGCCAAGTCAGAAAAATGTAGAGACTTAACCTTGCTAAGGCCATCAAGCACAGTAATGACCATTTCTGGAACAGGCACAGAATAGAATCTCAAAGATGTGTGCAGAAGCCTGCACTGTAGACCCTCTCCTGCGGGGAAGTGACTGAGTGAAGGGAAGGGGACTCCTAGGGCAG